AAAAAAAAATACAGGGAAAGGAACGGAAGGAAGCCCAGAAATGGAGGCACGTCCTTTGCGCCATATGACGTGTGGCAATCACAAGGCAGCTCAACAAAGGACGAATCGAATTTTTAGGCTGAGGCTGCAGTCGAGCTCTGACTATCAAAAGAGCACCATTTTTGAGTGATATGCTTCCAGGGGCCTACAGTTTTATTGTCTACTCAATTTTCCTTTTCCCCCCCACTTTGCCATCTAAGTTTTGATTAACTGCCAGGGTGGCTAAGGGAAAATTATGGGTTTCGTTCATGTCAGGAAGGCAAACAAAAATATTTTCACAGGAGACACTGTGCCAATAGAAAGCGGCCTCTTGTAACAGGATATGTGTTCCCCGAGGATAGCTAAAGCAATGGTGGACTTTGGCAATGATTCGAATAGTTGCTTTCCTGTAGGTATCAGTTAAGAAGGATTTATAAATGGTCAAAGAATTTTTTTTTTTAATATAATAAGCTCCAAAAATGTAATGTACATTCCAAAACTATTCTAAAATTCTTTTCTAATTCTAATAAAGAAATTAAGTACAACTTTGTCTAGAATAGAATAGTTAAATTCCTTTTAAAGGTATAATTTTTCTCAGATGCTTGGATAGAAATGATAGAAGTGCCACAGCAAATATGCCCAAGTTATTATATTTCGAGGAATGCCAAGAGAAACAAAAGCATTTGTTATTCTGCAGGCAGGGAGGCGAAGTGGAGGGCCGAAAAGGACCGTTAAGGAAATTGCAAAGTTAATAAAAGAGTAGTCGTCGAGGCATTTGCGGTTGGCATTTAGCTTTAAACGCGTCATTAACTGCTTAAATAGCAACATGTGTGTGTGTGCGATGGGTGTGCGGGGTTTTGAGTGTGCTCATTATCACCTGTCCGTCCAGGACGCACACAAGGATACACACAAAGCGAATATGATACCCGGGAGGGATGTGAAGGACCTCCGGCTCTCCGCGGCCCGCAGGCTGCTGACTTGGCACAACGCTCTACTAAGTGCTTCATCTTGTCTGAATAACATTTGGGGCAGGACCTAAGCAGGAACAGAAGCATTTACCTCATTTCCATTCCCCCAGCTCCCAGCTGCCAGCTACCATCTCTTAGCTCCCTTAGATCCACCTCCATTTCCCATTTCCTTCCCCCCAAACAGAAATGAGCTGGCGCATTTATGGCAGCCATTTTCGGGACGAGCAACTGGCATTTAGTGCCCCGCCAGAATTCCAGCCTTCATACGTATTTAATGAACTTTGTATTCTTGTTCGTAGCTCGTCTAAATAGCTCTTGTTTCGAGCTTCGGGTTAGGTTACCTTGCCCATCCGCCCATCTGCCCTCTCCGGAGCTTATTTATGATTGCCCCTGCAGGAGGAAAATGCATATTTACGAGGATGCCTATTTCGGGCGGGTTTCCTTTGCATTTCAGAGCGTTTTCTGGCACTTTATTGATCCGAGCCCCTGAGTTATGGATGTACCTCAGCCTCTGTGAACTCGACAGCAATAAAATTACAAACTCATTTTGCATGCTTAATTAGTAATGTACTTTTAATCCAGTCCAAACTTTGACAGCCATGGTGTTATATTTCATTTATTTGGTTTTGAATAGTTGAGCAAAAGATAATCCAAAAAAATTCAACCACAAATGTGTCGGTAAGTGAAGTGCGTTCAGTAAAAGTTGGCTAATTAGTTTTCCAGCCATCGTATAGTATTTCAAATGGTCAGTATGCATGCATTACCAAAATAAAAGATATATTTTTTGTCAAACAAAAACAAATAAAAACCCTGTTAGTCTATGAATATCCATTACCAAAATTTATTGTACAATGGAAAAGCATATCCTTAATTTGTAACAAATTTTGCTAGGCTTTAGCATCCTATTTTATGCTGAAATCCAATAAGCTGTCGACTCGCAATTAGAATAAATCCCTATTGTTCTTTTCCAGGATTTCCTTGAATATACACACACATACAATAACCAGTGTTGGGACATACCTAGATACTTTTACCTAGGTACGTACCTAGGTACAATTTAGTGGTACCTTTTACCTTACCTAGGTATAAAAATAATTGAGTACCTTTTACCTTACCTAGATACAGATTTGTATATACCTTTGGAATTATTAAGGTACTTACATAGGTATTAAACATTGATCTGATTTAAAATAGCCAAATCTGACTGCGACACTGTAGTATCGTTTCATTGTATCGTTTCGTTTCGAAATTGTAATAGTCGGAACGCAGCATTAAAAGTCATTGGAATTCAGCCGTTCTATTGTTTGTTTTGTGAAGTTAAAACTAATCGCAGTTTTATTTTATATAATTTTGTGCACGTATGTATGTTTCCATCACTACATCAATTTATTTATGAAACCAAAGTGTATTTGGCGCGCAAAAATGGCGTATGTAAGTAAACAAACGGCATATACATATGCACAATATATAGTCAATGTTTCTACATACGGAATTTTTGCGCGCCAAATATGTACATGAGGGTTTCATAAATACATTAATGAAGTGATACGTGCATACAATTATTCATGCCGCGTGTTTTAAAAATATATGCACAAAATTAAAACATTTAAATTTAAATGAAATGAAAAGATATTGTTTGATTAAGACGACTAATAACTGAAAACTAGTCTTATTTTAAGTTTAAATGATTACATTGAACAAAACAAAAAAATTATAAAAATAAAAAATACCTTATAAATACCTTTTACCTTTACCTAGGTACTGGGAAATTTAAGTACCTTTACCTTACCTAGGTATTTATTTTTGCCCAATACCTTTTACCTTACCTAGGTAAAAAAACACAGTACCTTTCCCAACACTGACAATAACTCACCTACACCATTTAAAGGTTTATTGAAATTTATTATGAAACAATTATGCGTGACAAAAATAACTAAAGTTTATTGACTGATAAAAGTTTGTCCATCAGCTGTCAACAAATTTACTTTGAAATTGAGAACACAATGAACTCTCGCTGAGTTCATGATGAATTTGCAAAAGATTTGCTTTCGAGTGTTGCCACACATAATTAGAATTTATTTTTTAATGATTTCTCAGCTGTCACTCGGGCGTCAAGGCCGTATCGATTTGGCAGTTTGGCAGTCCCAAGAACTCGTCGTCGAGTGTTTTTACCTTCGAGTTGGTCGGTATCCGTTTCCTAGGAACGGTGCGAAAACATTTTCCACCACCATCGCCCTGCAGGTTGACAACTTTTCATATTTGCAATTGAATTGCCTCCATCTGAGGTTCTTATCGGCTCGAATTCAAGTTTTCATAGCCGTGCGATTTTTCCAAAAATATTAACTTTGCCTTTTTGGCGGCGTGTGGGGGGAATAAGTATATTTTTTTTCGGGCTGTTACTCTTGTTACGGTCGTTAGTCCCCGAGGGCGGTACTTTGGGGGCGGGAGGGGGCGTGGCGCTGGAGCTTAGCCTGCTCAACAGCGATTTGCAAGAAACATTTCAAAATGTCAGGCGCAGCTACGAAATGAATGCCAAGCGAAATGGCAAGAGAAAAAGTTAAATTTTTTCTTTGCCTCAGCCAAGCTCAAATTTCTTAGCCTAGTTCTTTGGCCGAAAGTCGACTTTGGCTGCCATTACCCGTCAGGGCCAACAACAAATGGCCAGTGATTGATTGACTAATGCCTCAATTTAACTCAATTTTCGCTGTCTCCCCGCTGTTTACATTTAGAATCTATTCAGCTGTTTACTCGCAAGCCAAACATTTATTTTTTAATGCGCAAACCATGAAAATGGATTAATTTTATTTGGAATTCTGTTTGATTTATTTTTGATTTATTGTTGCCGAAGAGAACATAAAGGGAATTTTTGTAAACCGATTTTGAAGGCTGAGATCAATTCAAATCGATTTGATAAACAAAACTTTTTATGTTTAATGCAAACCTACCTATTGTTTGTCTTTTGGTGTTTTGCGTCGTTGCCGAAGCGGAAATTGCGTCAATCAATGCAGCTTTAATGGCCTTGCAAGTCAAGCGTTTTTAAAGCTTAATGAGCCGTGACTATAACCCCATTCTACCCCTAAAAAGTAAGCACACAAACAATAAAATGCAAGTGCAAAATTACTCAAAATGTCAGTCGAGTCATTTAAAGGGCAACAGGGCAACACAACACTCTCACCCCCTTTTTCAGCACCAGGCTGCTGTAAGAAAACTAACAAAGTGCTCTAACCGAGCCAAGGGGCAATTGCCGTGCTGCAGCAGCTGCACTTTCCCCCCAACCATATCCTTGCCTTAGAAGCACACTTCCTAGTCGGTTGGAAGTAACACTGCAAAAAAAAATGGTTCTAGCATTTAACCAGATTTTAAATTGTAGAGCTATTAAGTGGGGTAAAATTATTATTATTATTTTCATATTACATCCTCAAAAAGGATTTTTACGGTAAAACAAATTCTTCTTCTTACGATTTAAAATGAATTTAAACTTTTCTTTTCATTATTTTGCCATAAATGTATTTTTTTTCTCTCAAATTATTTAGTAAATCATTCAACTAACATTAAAAATTAATTAATTAAAAATATTTCATGATTTTTCCCTGTGCACTGCTTAGAAGGTTGAAGCTGGGAGGCGGCACTGGGCAGTGGGCGTGGCTCCGTGTTGACGCATGTTGACTATGCCTTTGAATTTGAATTGCTGCCGTGGCTGTTGGTGGGTAATTTGCAATGCAGAAAAACTAGCAAGGCGCTAAAGCCGAGTGTTTTCGGGGAGGCACTGGGGCAACATAAATATTCAGCGAGAAACGTTATATTTACATTTAGTCTAGGCTGATAATCCCACGGCTCCGCGGGATGTCCCCTCTGGGATGGGAGTCCCCTGGCCACAATCGGTTATCTCTGCCCCCGGCTGACACTTGCCCGTCATTCGTTTGTCTGCTTATCGCAGCAGCTCAAATAAAAAGTCCCCAATCGGCGACTCGTTTGTCTGCGACTCGAGCTATAAAAGCCATCTCACCAGCTCAAAGCATCAATCAATTCCCGTCACCGAGCAAAGATGCAACTCAATCTTGGAGCGATTTTTCTGGCCCTGCTGGGAGTGATGGCCACGATGGCTCCATCGGTGCTGTCAGAGCCTCATCGTCACCAGGGACCCATTTTCGATACGAGGCCGTCGCCCTTCAATCCCAACCAACCCAGACAGAGACCGGGAGTGTATTGAAGAGTCCAATGTCCTGATGTCGTTAACACATTGACTAAGTTGATACAATTAAAGCAGAACTGAACATCAAAGCTGTGAAACTGTGTAATTTAATTAATTCTAGGATGGTGGGGAAAAAGGGTACAGGTGATTGGAGGGCAATCAGCAATCCACTTTCACCAAAGTGAGGAATTATGATGGGAAATTTAAATGCACTGATAAAAAATATACTTTTTTTAAATTGCTTATTTTAAAATGCAAATGCTTCGATCAAGATTGCTAGTTCAATTTATTTTTAAATATTCTGTTTATTAAAATATGAATATTTCTCACAAAAATCGAAGTTTATTAAAATTAAATATTAAAATGAAATACTTCTTTATCAGTGTAGTGCGTCTCTGATTGCTCGCCATTTAAGGCTTCTTCAATGGCTCATAAATATACATTTGAAACTATGATTGAGCCAACCGTTGCAATTGGGGTGGCAAGCATTCGAAAGCGATTTAATTTGCATTTTGCATTTGGCATCTGCTTGGCTCTCGGGGCGTATGAGTAATCACAGTTGCCATCGATTGCCATTCTCTATACTACACTTGTGTGCATATATATATATTTAGATGCGAATAAAAATTGAGTACGCGCAAACATTTCAATGAGCTTCACACACAAAAACGACAATTTCCTCCTCACCCTCTGTTAATTTTTTTTTTCTCTTTTCCATTTTCTATTTTCAGCTGGCGATCCAAGAAAAGCGCTAAGAAAAACACTTGCAAAAATTAGCAGCAGCAGCTGATGGCCGGCGGTTGGCGGAGCCGCTCGGTGAAGGGAGGCCGTTCGTCTATAAATAGTGTTTTCGAACACTTTCTGCGCGTGACAGCTGTGACAGCGGCAGCCATGACGTCATTGGCTGGATAGGCCACGTCACGGATGCGGTATAAACTGGTCTGGCAAAGGCCAATAAAAAATCATATCGCGCATACGCCGCATTGACCCACCAAAGCAATCAAAGCAGGCAAAGTGGGAAGCGCCGCCATGGCAGCGGCGGTATGATATTATTGACAGCGGCAACATGCGTACAGCCAGCGGCAATAGGAACAGCAACAGGAGCAACATTTGCAGCAGCAACATTAGCAGCAACAGCAACAACAGCAACATCAACAGCAGAGCAGCCATGAGAATCGCGAGAAAGCACAGCAAGAAGAAAGAGCGGCGAAACGGAAAAAACACAGAAAATTGTCAAAATATTTAAATGCTTACAGCTGCTCGAGAATCAGTCTAAATTCGTCGTCGATCGGTCGTAGTTCCTGTTGTTGTTATTATTATTATCATTATTATTTGTTGTGTGTGTTGTGTGCCAGGCGACATAAGAAAACAAGAAAATTTTAAAAAATAAAGGAAGTGCAACTGAAGCGACTCGAAACGAAACGAAACTTAACCCAAAGACCAAAAACCACACCGAAAGTCAACCCTATATACCACATTCATGTGCCACACATATGTAAACCCAGTGAATCGGACAAACAGCAACAGTGCGTGTGTTGTGTAAACAAACAAATATTTGTGCTACATTCAAATTTAAAGCGGAATACAGAAATGTCAACCCAACGACTCGATAAGAATACAGCATCGCTGCAGACTCTCTAAACGGTGAGTTGGAATTCTTGTTAGTGATATAAATATAATATTTTATTATTTATTTAATTTCTGGTATTCTCTATGTTTTTTATTTATTTAATTTCTGGTATTCTCTATCAAATAAAAACACCTCTTAACGAGGTAAAAAACTAGTGACGACCGCACCTTCAACATACAAAAGTTCTGATATCAACATTTGTGACGAAAAATTATTACACTCGTCATTAAATAGACTTTCTAATATTTTCTCATTCGGCCCGCCCTAGCAAACTATTCCAGCCTTTTTCCCTTTACAGGCATTTTCTATTGCAGCGTGACGAATGAGAAAAGATTAGAAAGTCTATTTAATGACGAGTGTAATAATTTTTCGTCACAAATGTTGATATCAGAACTTTTGTATGTTGAAGGTGCGGTCGTCACTAGTTTTTTACCTCGTTAAGAGGTGTTTTTATTTGATATCAGAAGTTTTTGTTTGTTTACATTTGCTCTCATAGGAGCTAATATATACATTTAAATTTAAATTGGTCAATCATAATTTTTAAATTATCGTATTTTAACAAATTAAGTTAAAAAGGCGTTGAAGTATTTCAAAATACCTTTTAAACGAGGTATAGCACATGTCTGTACCTTTAGTAGTGTAGAACTTACAAACTAACTAAATTTAGCTATTTTTAGCTTTTTCCCGCTAAAGTAGCGGCTTTTTCCAAAAGTCGTAGAACAAAAGATTCCTATATGGAACTCTTAAGTGCAAATTTACTGATTCCATGACCCTAAAATACAGTTCGGATACCCTCCCACAAAATTCAATACTCAGGGAGCGTTAATTGTTCGAGCTGGCAAAAGTGGCTATTTTCGTATAAAAATAACTTTTAAACGTGACTTTTTACAGTAATGTGTTATATACCAAAATTTAAGGAATCTCAAGGGCTATACAGTTTAAGGTTTTAAAGAAAATCGTTAGAGCCGTTTTTGAGAAAAATAAAAAAAAGCTAAAAAAAAAGTTTTAAAAAATTATTTTGGACAAACTGACAATCTGACAAACTGACAAACAGAATTAAATTTTCATTTTGGGAAGACGAAGGAAATCTTATTTTGGCTATAACTTTTGAACGGAGCGTCGGATTTTGACAAATGACGCCTCATTCGACGGGTATTTTCAAAAGGAATACAACTAAAACATTTCGAGGGGGCTTTTATCCCCACCGGCCCCAGCAGCTCCAAATTTCGAAATTTTCACTTTTTCACTTTCACCGCTCTCTCTCCCAAGCCAATTAATTTTCTTAGAGTCTTGGTATGCAATCCTGTTAGTTTTCGCAATACCTTTCGATAGGTGTATCATTCATTATGATCGGACCATCACAGTAGATTTTCATTTCTTCGTGTATATATAGTAGTCGCCTTCGCACACTCTCCTGGTGCGCTTCGTCACTACATGGACTGCCGTCCATAGTGATGTATTTATTTAATTTCTAGTCGATTTTTTGTTTACCTGGGTATAATAAAAGATTTTTCACACTTGATTTTTGTATTTAATTTTTAATGTTTTTGTATTTGTATTTTTTGTGTTTAATTTGAAGCGCTGACATTTTCATCAATTTAACTTCGAGCATAAAATTAGGTTAGCAAACCTTTAGGTAGGTTTTTCACCTGCGATATGGACAGTTCCTGTTTAATTATCCTAATGTATATTCCATCCCCGAAACTCGTTCAGGGCCCCAAAATGTCGAGCTTGGTCGTGTGTCAGAGTGTGCATGTCAGACAGAATTTCAATTCGAGTGGGGACCCCGCCTTATCCCAACCCATCAAAATCGCAACCCTCTGCGCCTGGTTTTGCTGCTCGGGTAACTCTGCATGGGGGCCACGTTGCGAATACGCAATTTGTGTGCTGAAGCTGCTCCATGCTTTGCCTGCCTCTTCGAGCGCTTTTCTCATAAATTGAGTTTACTCTTTTCGACAGCTTTGTTTGCCTTGCCTTGGTAGCGAAAGCCCCCATCTGCTTCACCTAATTTCCTTTTGCATAAGTATCACATGTCTATGCTACCTGTATCATTGTGTCTTTGTATATTTTTGATGGCTGTGCCCATTTCAATGTGCACGGGAATTATGACGAATTATGGCCCACACAAATCAGCACAAAACTTTATTGTTGGCCATGTTTTCTCAGCTGGCGAACAAAAGTGCTGGCTGGATTGGGATTTATTGAGCCATTTCGTGAAGGAAAGTCCTGATTGACAGTGAAATTACAGCGGCTACTCAATGGTGAATTAAAGCAAAAATTTAAGCTAAAATGTTTTACATTTTATAGAAAACTAAAACTCGTAAACAAAAAAATTTCAAACAAAATAGTTCAGCTTTCATATGCACATTGATTTATAAATTTTTCAAAAATATAAGAATGCAAAATTTTAACTTGACGGTCGGAAGTTTCCTTGACCTTTGCCTTGGATTTCTTGCTTTCTGCTTTCGCATAACGTATCAAAGAATTTTTGTTATTTGCATTCAAGCAATTCAAATAACAATGCATGCAGACTCACTTAATTATATTTATTTAAATGTTTTTCAATTGAAGGATTAAAATACTACTAAAGTGGTTTTTATGCGGCCAAGGATAAATATTTCCTTAAAGAATTTCAGCTATTTCCACTCTCTATTAAAGAAAATATAAAATTCATTCCAGCTTAATTTGTTGAGTTGCTTAAAAGCTCGGTCAAACTCAACTAAGTTTTTGATGTGTCTATTCAGAGCAAACCAAATATTTGCATACATGCGGTTAAATTAAATTAAGAATATAAAAAGAGAGAAAACGAGCTTGGGGTGGAATTCAAAAGCAGGGTCAAAGGCACCCAACTTAGTTGCCTTGATCTTTGCATGTTTTTCGTATTTTCTTAGCAAGTCGCAAGGAATTTGGTTAATTTGTGTTCTCATAGCAGGCACCGAATACCTCGGCGTGCAGACCCACTATAATACATTTGTTTATATGCTTTTAAATATAAATATGTTCTGTTCTGGGCTCACTGCCATGTAATTATGTATGTCGCTGGCCGAGAGCAAGTGCATCGCATGGGCGCCTTCACATTGCTCCTCCTCGCTGCTTTTCTTTTTCTGCTCTGGTCTGTTTTTCCCCTTTCTTTTTTCTGGCCCGCCTTGACAATGCACTTGAGTCAAGTTTGCTTCCTCTAGTTGGCCGGCTTTCCTGGGCATTTCCCCAGCCCCTCGGCATCGTAGGATCTCAGTGCCTCTTGCCAATATGCAGCTAGCCAAAACGAGGCGTTTGTCTGCTTGTTTATTTATAACATTTTGTTTGCCACTCTGGCGGGCTTCCTCGTTCTGATAAGCGAACTGCCATTGCTCTTCAGGCTTCATTGTTTTCAGTAGTTAATTAATTTTAATTCAAGTTCTTGCCATTTGCCCTTTTATGGCTCCCGAAACGGAGCTGCTGTTTGTGCATTTTCGCAAAATTGCTTTCAGTTGGTTTTTTGCCCCCACCCGGTTGAAAAAGGCTTTTAAAATGCCAGTCGTTGCCAGAGGATAGAGGAAATTCCTCGGTCCCTGGATGCTTTTACAACTTTCAGCTGGAGAATGGAAAACTTTCACTTACCCCACCGCCACCGCCACCCACCACTTTCACTCACTCTCGCCCCATTTGATTGATCAATGTTGACAGATTTAACGAGCTGGTAAAGTGCAGCAAAACAATTCAATTATGTATATACATATACACGTGTGCGTGGGACTGAGTGAAAGTCGGGGGTGGGGGCGGATGAAAAGGAAATATTTGCGTACCCCTCGGATAGTGTCATCGGCAGTTCCTGCTCCGCCCCCTGCTTTTCCTTCAGCCTTCGAAGCTCCAACCCCACGACTGCCAAGCGAATTATTCATGCGACCGCCCCTATCTGGCAGCTAATAAATAATTCACATTGAATTAAATTGCGTGATTTCTTTTCGGCTCGCCTTGCCACAACAAGCTGTATCCCCCCATTTATGAAATGCAATTTCTGTCTTGGCTTTGCTTTTCCCCGTACTCATGTGAATCCCCCTTCCCTCCCCTCTTCGTCATCATAATTTCATCGCATTCTTCGTGTAAGTTTTCTTTTCGGGTTTTCCTCATTTTCACATACGCACACGCGAGGCCGCCGTGTGCGATATATATTTATATGAATTTAATCTCCAACGATTTCCCGTGCCGTAATGCGATTTTAATGCCGGCCAAGGACCCGCCCTCTCTCGTTTCGTGGGTGAATATTATTGGGTCAGTATCCATTATATATCAATTATGCAAATGGTAATTGTTAAATTTATAATGCCATTTTACAATCGAGAAGCCTTAGACGGGAATTTAGATGGGATTTATTTCACAAAAGCTTCTTAAGACCTAAAAAATCTTTTAAACTCAGCCAACATTTGTTTTCTTTAAAGTTTGCTTTACGGTAACTAATTCGAATTTATAAATATTTTCTTTTCCTTTAAATTTAAAAAAGTTTTAGTGGAAACATGTTTCAATTCTATTTAATTGTCATTTAACTAAAGTTAGACATTTACGGGGAAACACTAAAGGCGCTTATTTTAATTAAATAAAGTTCACTTATTTTATTTAAAAAATGTTATCCTTAAAAAGTATCCTTCTTTACCTTTCAATATGTTATTAATTGATGTATTTCACTGCTTAAGCATTTTATATAGCCAATATAGCCAATCATTTCAAGAAACCCCAGACATTGTCTGTAATTTGAAGGCCCATAAACTTGGCCCTGAAGACAAGACAGTGGCAAACTATAATCACTCATCCAGTTAATTCTGATCCGATAATTAAAGCGGCGTGTAACCATCGGTTATCATGAATATTTAATGCAAATTTAATTGATATGGGCCAATCGATTGGCCAATAAAATGGCATAATAATAAGCCTTGCATGTGGCGAGTCCGTAATTTGCCCACCGCTCCACCCACCAGTGTTTTCGACACGCACAAGCTTAGTGGGCCTGCGGGTGGTGTTGGCCAACTTTGAGTTCGGGCTGTCATTGCCAATTCCTGTTAATTTGTGTTAGAGCACCCACCCAGTAAACAGTGAGTGATGGTTGTACTTTCGCTTTTCCTGAATGAGTAGAGCTACACGTAGAGGGGAAATGAAATCATTTAAGTTTCGGCCCTTGGCTGTTAATTTCGAGGTTTTCAAGAAATATCCCCACAAATTTAAGATAGCTTTGCTCAAATTTTGTTTTGCTAGAACTGCTCTTGAATAAACTATTGAAATTCGAATATATTCTAATTTTTAATTTGTAATTTTTTTTATAACAATTTCACTTGACCCTTATATCAAAAATAAAGCATAAATATGGTAAGGGCCCTTGTTTTGTACACATTTGGCACTCTGACAATTAACCACCTGGCCTCTGGGTTCTTTGGGCCTTGGCCTTGGCCATGCGAACCTGGCCAGAAATGTGCTCTCTGTCAAACTTTGTTTACCAACTCGCAGAGAATGGCGGCCCAAAGTTTGACCTAAATCCTGACCCTGAAGCAGTAACTTCTGCTCTTCCGGAGAAACGAAACAATTTAATGAGCAAAAAGACTCGCATGGACGAGTGACCAGCACAAAGAAATGTTTTTAATGAGGCAAACTTTTGTTTTGTGTTCCAAAAATTTAACATCCTCTAATGACGACTAATTAATCTTACGCTTCTCTGGTTTTTTCCTCCCATTCCAGCCACGTCTTCGAGCATCGACAATATGCAGCGATCCAAATGACAGCACGTCCCCGAGAAATAAACTAAACTTGAACTCACTTTGTGATATACCCGAATAGCAGAAAGTACGTTAAGTCCTAGTTGTAAACGAACCTATTTACGCTCCTTATCAATATTGTTTTGGTAACTTGAAGCACTTTAGTTAGACACAACCCACAAAAGACAGACAGCTGACAGCACTGCTAAACAGAGAACCCCAAAAAAGACAGGACCTTGTGACCCTTGCAACCCCAAAGAGAGACCCACCGAACCCAGACTGTTTGTACTGTAGTTACCCCCGACTAGAACCAAGCCAACAGCTGAGATCCACTTAGCACAGTGCCCACCATGCCACATGGGGACCGTGAGGAATGTACGTAATATATCCCGCCGATGAGCTCATCTTGATGACCTATGGTTTCTTTGCGCCACGTGTGAAACCGCGACCCTCACTCGACTGCCTGCCCGAGCCGCTCGTGCCGATCGAGTATCCAGCCAGGAGTGCCAGTTGCCTTGTCAACACCAGTAGCACCACCACCTTCAAGGCCCCCACCACCGCCGCCGTCCACTTCGAGCCTTTCGCCACCACTCCGCCCATTGCCATCCAGCCAGCAACCGCGCCGGCAGCACTAACCAGTTTCTATCCGGGATCACCGCCTGCCTCGCCGCCTCCTTTCAACTATTCGGCAGCAGGATCACCTGCTTTCTTCAGCTTCGACGAGCCACCTGTAGGATCAGTGATCAACCAGAGCCAATCCCAGAGTCTGCCGCCCACGCCCACCCGCCGCACATCGCGTGCCTCCCTGACCCACTCGAACAACTCGAATCTCTCCCACCAGGGCTCCACCAAGCGGAGCAGCCTGCGGCGGAGCCATCAGCGTCCACCGGCTGCGTCCATGTATAATGATTATAATGAGGGTAGCCAGATGCAGGGAAGCGGTAGCAGTGCCACTGGACCAGGACGAGCACCATTCCAGCGCAGCAGCGCAGCCTACGAGCAGGATTCGGGAGCAGCAGCAGCACTAGAGTATGGGGATCTGCGTTCGCGGAGTCCCAGTATTTTTCTGGAGCCACCCACGCCGGATCCCACGCATGCCCACTTTGGACCGGGATGGGGTAGACCCATGTCGCCCATGGACCTGCCACCGGAACGGTCATCGGCCAGCGGATCGGGCAGCAAGTCGCCCACGGGCAAGTCTCGCCTGCGACCCAAGCTGCATCTTCCGCTGGGGCGATTGGGCAGGTCCAGTTCCTCGGACACGAGGGAGAGCAACAGACTGCGCGAGGACGTGCATGTGCATGTGGAGAATCCGGTCTTCAGCAGCGAGAATCTGCGACAGAACAACTTCGATGCATTCTTCGAGGCCCGCGAGCCGGTCATCAAGCTGCAGCCGCGAACCCCCCACACGGCGCCGGCGGATGGGGGCGGTGGGCGGGGCTACTCGCCGCCCCTGGAGAACTATGCGGGCGTCTACGATTCGCCCAGGACGCGGAGTCCAGCGGGCAAGGGCGGCGGCAGCGGGGGTGGCCTGTTTGCGCGATCACCTCGCGAGGACCGGGAGAGGATGGCGGGCGCCAGGTCACGGAGTGCGGATCAGTGCGACGGGGCGGTGGGCGGAGCTGCCAGTGGAGGACAACCCAGTGGATCCAACTCGGCGGGCGGCGGCGGAGGCGGAGGGGGCGGGGCCAGTTCGGCCGGAGCGACCTCCAAAGGTGACAGGTGCCTTCCAAGTCTACTCTTGCACCTGCTAATCGAATCGTTTACAGTTAATTGCCGCGCGTCTCGTAGAGATCGACCTTGAGTTGATCGCCATAACAAGCAGCATAAACGGAAGTGCTACGGGTTTTTGTCTTTCGAGGCATCTAAAGGAAATTCGATTTGATATCATCCCAGCATTTTCAAAAGCAATTGGAATTTCCTCAAGATCGGCGGAAGTGAAAACCCGAGCGTTTCTGTTAGTTAAAAGCAACGTTTCACCTGCTGCAAGTTTGATTCGAAGTTCTGAGTTCTGTTAACGTTTGATAATGCCTGAAAAGCTTGCAATCATATAGACTCTATATTATAGAGTATCCTTGGATAACATTATAAGCACTTTTGTTTTTGTCCGCTTACAATTTAATATAACTTCTTAACAATGTATAAGTGCTTAAATTATATTTCTTACAATATTTTATATTCTGGGTACTGAAGACCTAACTGAAAAGTCTTCAAAGATAAACTTTTATGAATCTCATAAAATGCGAGTAATTGGGAAAATTTAGTTTAATCTAACAAGCTCTCAAACTACAAATTGGTAATCAAATTAGTGAGACTCCGAGTGCCTAGACCCACTTCACCTAACGTAAGCTCCACTTATTTTTCCTATTTATTTCCGATTTCTGCTCTTCAGCTTTTCAATTAGCTGTATTACACACACGTTCAATATAAAACTAGCGCCCAATAAAGGGAATAATCCTTACAATAGACTCTCTGGTTTTGCACTCTCCGTTGTTTTCTCCAAGGATACGCAACCTTTGGCTCAGCCAGAGTTCGCTTTCCCATTCTCTATTCCTTTATACCCTCCTCGCTTGGTTGGCTTTCGGTACTAAGCACACACAAAGGCGAGGGGCGAACTTAAAGTGCTTAGGATGCTTGACTTTCCGCCCGCCCATTTCCCCATTTCCCATCTGCATTTCCATCGCGCCACCTTATCGCTTGAGCGGGGTCCACAGCTGCTCCTCGCATGCATAATTGGATTACCTGTGCCCGTGGATGTGGATTGTGGATGTTTGGGTGGCTGCAACAGCGAGTGCAACTGCCAGTGCAACTGCAGCTGTGTTGCGTGCCCCGAGCGCATTCTCCGAATGCAAGCACGCACATAATTCCGTTAAAAACTAGAAGGAGAAGAAGTAGAAGGAGCTGGAGGAGCGGCACATCCTGCTGTGACTGGCGTCCTGAAATGAATGTCAGCTTAGCAGCGCGTGAAGTGTAATCAACAACAGCGATAACGACATCCTTGCAGTTGGCACGTGAGCTGGAACCGCCTGAGATCCTGCCAAACCGCCAACCCACCAACCCACCAAGCCACCACCACCCACTCGAATTCATTTCAAAGTTCACAGCGCGGCAAATTTGATGACCAGCGGCAAAGTAAATCAAGAGCTACGTGATCGCTGGCAATCTCGGACTTGCCTTGTTTATTCCGCATTAAATTGGGGAGGGGCAAGGGGATGCCACAGACAAGTCCTTTAATAATTTCCAGCTGCAGCTCCTGCATATTTCATTTAGGAGCAGCCAACGGACAGTAATTGAGCCTCGTGTGAGCGTGTGCAAACAAACACGGCTAAGACCAACTCAAAGCCAACGACAGACACTTTGGACACTTGGACACTTGGTTAAGGAGTGGGCAGTCCGAATGAAACAATCACAAGACATATACCAAACAAACGGGCCCTCGAGTCTTTTTAGCTTCCAGTGCGCTCGAAACGAAATCTCGACTCTCGCCGCGGCAATGAAATTACGCTTCATTTATTGATTGAATTTTAAATGAAGGCACACTCCCGTCTGCCTCGACTTTCAGTTTGGAATTCCAGCAAAAGACCTAAGGAGCCAAAGACCAGCAAGCCGAAGGAACCTATCTATACAGTTGCGCTTGAAGTAATAGGACTAGAGATTACAACCTACCTACATTTTAATTGTTACAAAATATTTGAGAAATTTTCCACTTTTATAGCTTCACTATTAAAAAATATATTTTTAGGTAAACATTTTCATTTAAATAAGCGGCTTTACAGTTTGACTTATTATAGTTAAATAATACTTTTTTATTTAACAAACATTTAAGAACTTTAAAAATATTTTAAAGCAAAGTATGCGAAACATTTAAAACTTAAAATATACATTTTTTTCAATTATTAAATTCTTTGTTATTTTTGTACGGAACTAGTCTTTAACTAAACATTAATAGTAAAATATTATTTTATTAATCAATTTTTGATGGAAAGTATGTGTATACTTAAGGTGCCCATCAAAAATTGATTTTGAGTTCCATAATTTTGGCCGCTCCTGTTTGCGTCCTTTTGTTGACTTTGGTAATGGGGCTCGGGTTTAGGCCTTGTCTTGGGCCGAAACACTCGAATTTCCGCCTTGGCCCGAAACGAAAATAGAAGCGGAATGAAATGTGGGCGAATGGATGGGCTGCCTCCACTCATTATTTATGCATAAATACAAAAGGCAGCGATCTGTTTGATTGGCCAAGGGGGATGGGCGGGGGGCGACTGACTTGTGCATTTATCACGGCGTGGCCAAAATAATTCCTGACATTGCCCGACGGATACTTTACTCCATCCACCCGAAAATCAAATCACATTTCTTTTGAATATTCTCATTTGTTTGCTTTCAATTCGATTCGTTTTGTTTGGAATTTACGTTGCGTTTTGTTTGTTTTCCCTCTTTAATTGTTTGGTTTGGCTAGTTGATTAATTTTTGGTTTGAGTAAAAAATTGATAACATTCTTTTAATGGCCATGTAGTAATAATAACAACCCGTTTCAAGCAGGTTCTTCGGTAAAATCTTCAAGTGGTCGAAGAAGTCGTAGGAGGAGGATCTTCGGGTGGAGGGGGCCACGCGGTGGTTCCCTTAGCCCCCCGGGAGGCAGCATGGCGTCCTACAACGGCGTGCTCAAGGATTACAGTCACAGCAGTTTGAACGAGGCTTTCAAATCCCAGAACAATGTCAACTTTAAGTTAATTAAAACAGGTGAGAAAAGCCAAAGCCCCCAGTCAATGTCAAAGCCAATCTATTTGGTGTAGCATGTAAGTCGGATCCAATTCATGGCACATATCACTGGGGATATGGAACCGAACATGTCGTGTGCCACCTTTCACACCTGACACGCTTTCGCCAGGTGGCCCAAAACGACAAACAGCGGGGATTGGATTTCCACAAATAAAAAAAAGGAAAAAGAAAGCAATTTATGTGCCAGCATTTTATTTGATAAGTTTCGCCTGTTGTCGCCTTTATGGCTTATTGATTTCGATTGTCAATTGTCTTTGTCGGGTCGTCAGATTGAGACATAAATCTGTTCGGTCTCGTAAAGTCCCCATCCCATCCCATCATCCCAATCTATCTACGAGTATGTTTACCCACGAACAAACTACAGCACAGCTGCAACTTTTCGACATAACTTTGACTTTGAATTACGGCGCTGTCACTGAAAGTTGTCCCAGCGGATGGGCACCTTTGGCACTTGCACATACAGCAGAGTTTTTGCCGAGTTTTTACTAGTTCTCCATGGCATCTAAAGTTTTTAATAACATTTTTGCTGTGAACTGCATATGAAATCAGAGAGGCAAGAACCAAGTATTGATTAAATTAAAGTAGCTCAGACAAACTTTCGAGTTTCAACACATTTGACAACCTGTTGAAGAGAGAGACCGTAACACTATAAACGCGTATCTGGCTGGCCATAAAACGTTTGGACCATAAACGGGCTGCTTAAGAGGCTGAAAGCCAAGTGAAAGCCAAACATCCATATTCATATATGCCTGAATAATCGTAAATATGATGGATCACTCCTTTTAAAGAGCACATAACCTTGAAGTGAACAAAGTAAGAGAAATGCGGGTGGCTAATATACGGAAAAGAGTTGTTAAATCGTTTAACCATGAATAAGTCATACCTTTTTATTGTTGCAGCCTTGAGTTTTGAGCTAGAGAGAATAAGACAAAGATTTCAGCCGGAAGTGCCCACCGCTCCCCGGTTGGCATATCCGTTTCCGGTGCTTTTATTGTGTCTAATGCAGTTTTGTGGCCCGTCATAAACCGTGCCTGCCTTTTAGTTTTATGCCTTAGTACTTAGTACTTGGTACTCATTCAATTTAATTCAATTACAGTATCCGATTTCTCCGAAACACTATCCCGTCTCTACGAGGAACACGCAACTGCCCTCCAGGTTGCGGTGTCCAATTATCGCAAGAAGAATGCCGAATTACGCAAAGAAAGGTAAGTGCCTGCTCCCACTGAAAACGATTTTCCAGCCAAATTGATGCCAAAAACAAAAACCCATTGGCGTGTTTAGACCCGCCTGCCACTTGGCCATCTTTCAGGCATGGGAAACATTCCTGCAGGAGGTCGAAACCGATTCGCAGGCCTGCAACGATGTGGCCAGCGTCCTTTCCCGCCAGGTGAGTCTCCTGAATTACGGCTTTCATCGAAGGAAACTTTGCCGAAAGCCGAAATGGGTTAATGGCAATATCGTGTCGCGTTAAATATTCAGTTGCCTTCACTGGAAATAGACTCGAAAAAGGGCCTGTCATGCGCTGGGCCATAAAAGATTTTTAATTGAATTAATGCAGGTATTAAGACAATGGAATTTTTGCCTTTAAAAACAAAATCCACATTCCTGTTAATAATAATATATGATAATTTTATTTGTGCCATTTACCGCATCGATCGGTTGTGTAAACCACATATGGGTATGTGTGTGGCCTTGAGGCCTCACAAAAATATATACTTATAACAAAAAAATCCCAATTTGCATTATAAAAAGCAGACTCTAATTATGGTTAATTAGTGGGGGCGTGGCGCTGCGGGGCCCTGGGAAATGACATGTGTTTTTCGAGTGCCGAATAATGTTGTTTCGCTGCCGCGTTTGTTTTCTTTTTTTTGTGTTTGGCTTACACATTTAATTTTCATTTTTCACGATGATTTGCCCTTTTTTCTGGAGCGTCGACTGAATCGCATAAATAATTTATTTGTTTTCCAACCCTTAACCTTAGGTGTCGCGACCAATGCTGGATAAATCCTTTCATCGCAAAGTTCAAAGCCGTAAAATATTCACACACAGGGAGTCTTTTGAGACTATTATCGCAAAGACTGAAGAGAAGCTGTCAAAGGTGAGTTTAATTAGCAAAAAGCCTTGATTAGGCAAAGGCAATCCCCGAAGCAATCCAAGCGAACAAGAATTTAATTTTGCTTAAAGTTCTGTTCGGGCAGAAAATATTGGGAGCACACACACAATACGCATACGCAGTGTGGGCCGTTGCCAATTGCCCGTCAAATGATCCTTTGTCCATTGTGCGTGTGCCCATTTACCCTTTTCTGTGATTACCCATAAATTGGCCACCCCTTGCGGGTTGCTTTTGGTTTCTACCCATCCGCAGTGCCGAGTGGACTACAAACAGTGCCACCTGGCCCACCGACAGAATCCCAGCCAGCACTCGCTCACCGAATACATCGACGCCCACAACGCGTACGTGCAGCAGCTGCATGCCACGAATGGAATGCTGGAGGCCTACCACTCGGACACCCTGCCCCAGCAGATGCAGGAGCTGGAGGAGATCCACAACGACCTGGTCGCCATTGTGTCCGACTCGCTGATGCAGGGCGCCGAAGTAATTGGCGGCAAGGTAGGTGAACCCCCTCTCGCAAACACCCCGGAAGCCCCCGGAGGCAGTGATTTATCACTGCAGCAGGTGGTTGTTCCACTACACTGTGTGCGCATACAGCAGTGGCACCTGGAATTCGAGTTAATTTCTGCACCGCCTTTTGTTTCCTGGAAAATAATTTGTACACGATTATAATAATTGCGCGGAGTAGCAATTTGCTGTGGTAATTTGCCTAATGCGCGGGCCGGTCCCGACTAATGATGGTGACACTTTTTACCTAGCCAGGGTAAACAGTAAATACAACAAAGAATATTTACCACATAGGTGGGTGAATGAAATCATTTTAGTGCAATAACCAGTTTTACAGTTGTATGGCGCTCAGTACAGTTTAGAACTTGAGTGCAATAAATAAAGCGGCGGTGGCTTTTTATGATTCTTAAGTTTTTTATAAATTTAATTTTTATTAATTCTGGTAGCCAAAAGTAAAGCTGATTCTTTAATATATTTTTCTAAGAAGAAAGACAAAATATGTTTAGTTGAACCTCCTTAGAAAACGTTTTTGTTGAGGGAGGGCTAGCCCTAAAATGTCTTAGGAAGTCACAAAATAATAATCTTCTTTATTTTTTTCCTAGGCCAACGACCAATCCAAGCGGTACAACAGCCTGGCCATCCAGTGCAGCGCGGTCTCACCTCAACAGGACCTGGTCAACTTCGTCCGTCTGTTGGCCCAGCCGTCGCAGGCCCAGAAGATTCCCCGCAAGGTCTTCTCGACGCCCCAAGGAGAGGCCGGCGAGGAGGCGGGCGACCACAATGTGAGTAGTGACCAGACCAGATTAAAGTGAATGTTTTTTTATGGCGAACACTGTGTCCTGTCCCCTGCAGGAGATGACGCCCTGCCTGCGGAACGAGTTGGTCTTCGACCGCCACTCCACACTGTCACAACGCTCCGCGTTGGAGTCGCTGAAGCGAGAGGCCATCGAATTGGAATTGCAAATACGTCAGCTGCAGGTGAGATGGATTGACCGCAAAGATAAAAAGACACGAGGCGATATCACCGACATCTCGGGAGATTTTAATGTCGATAGATTCGATAGCGCTTTATAAACCTTAGGTTTCCCCAGATTTCATTCATATCCTCTATAAAACCTCCTTAGCTGCCTAAAGATCTTCGCTGTCTGAGGAGAGCACTTCAAAACCTGATTTACATTCCTTGGGTTTCTCGTTGTATTTACATATCAATGATGCAACTATCACGGCAAAATAGGTTTCAAGAGCTGAAAAATATATTAAATATATTTCTCGAAAATATAATAAAATGATTTTTACTTACTTAATGACGGAAATAAGAAGAGACATTGCATTAAAGTAAAGTTGCGTAGCGTGTTATTGGTATTCGACATAAGAGTCGTGAAGACCGAAATGTAAATCCAAAGAAATAAGCAAACTTTGTGACCCTTGGTAAACAAAATAACAGAAAATTCGTCTAGGTAATTTTAAAGACCTTTAAAGAACTCTCACCCATTTGGTTCCTATATAGAGCAGCATCGAGTTGAGAACTGTGACCAAACAGAGGGCCATGCAAAAACGGTGATTCGTGTGATAGAGAAACAGCCTATTGACTTCGCCGTTTAGTTCGATTTTTGTGATCCAAAAGGGATCCGGTAGAAGTACACTTGGCTTCGATTGTTGGACCAGATGATATAAACTGCAGATCTGCATCACACTGTACAAGGCCTCAAACAGGGCTATCATCCTGCATCCGGTTTCCAAAGCGAAGAAATAAAGGAAGCTATTCAATCGGGTTATAGACTTCAATTTGCGCTTAATGGTCGGCCATCCCCAAATTCTAGAACATCTCTGGGAAAACTCAGTAGATAGCATTTTCGCGCGACTATTCACAGACCCTCAAAGATATTTGCTTTGAAAAAATGCTAATGAAAGCTTGCACCTAGCCTACTTTTATAAGATATTCTTTCTGGGAAATATGTAAATATTAAGGCACCGCTCACTCTTCTTTAATAATAATATTCCATAAAGAAATAATAGTAATGAAATAGTAAATGGTTTTTAAAATTGGTATGATAGAAAACTATTTTTTTTTTACGTTTTTGTATTATTTTTTAAATAATGGGGTTTGACTAACTTTTGTAGAGTTGATTGGTCGAAATAAATAATTTCTTGTTTTTTTTTTTTTTGATTAAATAATATTAAGGATGACCAACATTCTCTATTAGTTTATATGATTTTTATGTTGTGATGGGGTTTTTAAGGTTTCCACCTCTTAAAATTTTCCCCGCAGGACTCCATTGAGGCTCTAAATCGAACGCAGACCCGCGGGATCGAGGGTCAGCTGTACAACAAGGTCAACGAGCTGCAGGAGGATTTGTCCATGAAGAAGTTCGACCTGCGGGCCAAGCAGATCCATTTGGCGGCCATAAGGGCTCAGGTGAGTTGAAACTTGAAATAGGGTGAGGTGAAAAGCTCGCAAGTTTAGTGGGAAAATGCACCCAGCTGAAAGCTAGAAAAGCGGGGAAAGTAATCAGTTGGAAAACTTAGTTTAGTGCCGTACGAAAGCTCTCGCTAAGCTTTGCACGGACCTGTTGCTGGGCAGCTTTCCTCTGTGGGGGGCTTTTCATGGCCGAGATCTAATGAGTTCCATTAGGCGGGGTCGGGACTCCCGACACGCCCCCCGTTTGCACGCTTGAAAGTACAGATGAACTGGCGCTCGTATGTAGGTCAAACAGCTGATTGCCGACTGCGCATGTGACCCAAGCGTCTCTCTCTTTGGGCCAAGGAATGCCGCCAGCAGCCAGCAGCCAACTGTGGGTTAGGTTCGTCCTTCGCCTTTCGCTTAGTCCTGCGGTAGATTAGCTTGTGCGTGGTCAGTGCGGCAGTATGGCTTGATTTTTCCTGCATTTTCCAGCCTACCGTGTTTGAACCGACTTTAAGCGACGTGGGTGCCCAATTAAAAGTTCCCTGTGTGTGCTCTGTGATTTACTTTGTTTTTTGGTGTAACTCACTATTTTTGTGCGTGGTTTTTTGGGGAAAAACCCGTAGCCTTTTGACTGTAACCTCAACCTCGAAGCCTCCAAGTGAATCAGCTGTTGCCGAACGAGGCTCGGAAAAGCCAGTGAGCGAGAGAGCGCGGAAAATTGCATGCCCAGCGTTGCCAGATAGTTTTACCCATTTTCCCGATGTCGCTGTTTATAAAAGCAGCGTGCAACGGTCGCTCCAAGTCAGTCACGTGCTTGCATTCCGACGTATAAGTAGCGCGGCTCGCCAGCTCCGTTCTTGGTTGATCCATCGGAATCCGTTCGACAAATTAGCCGTAGCCGTAGTGCCGTAGCCGTAGTTCCGTACTATCGTACTTCCGTAGTTCCGCATCCGCATCCGCATCCGTGAACGCGAAGTCGTCGTTCTTCGTCGCGCCTGAGGTGTGATTGGCTGCCAATCGCCACTGGGCTAGCTAAAAGAAATAATACCAAATACTACGAAAACGAAACACAAACCTTTGAGATCCAAATAAAAACAACCAAATAATATAAAAATATATTGTACCCCCAAAACAGACACCATTCAAATATATATATCCTCTATAATATATATGCATAATTTTAGAGCGCAGTTCAGGGCAGGCTTTTCTAGGCGAGTTGTTCTCTCTATTTTGATAGAAGATAAATTGAATTGAGTTCAGCGCGTAAGTAACCAAAACGATGATCAATATAGTAAATGCAACCAACTAGTCGACAGTCCATGTAAAATAACTATAGCTTTATTTATCAATCACGCATACGCACCATGCGCCCAATGAATTTGGAATTCAAATGAAACTAATGTAGCACTGCCAGAATTTCTTCGAATCTTTTGCCTGCCTTTCTATACCAAAATTTACTAGCCAAGTAGTCGAAATTCGTGGCCCAAAGGCCAAACTTCACCCATCAGAAGCAACAACTCAACTCAAAACTGAAAATAAAATAATATAAAATCTAGCTAACTCGTATGTACTGTAAATAACCAATACTCTTTGCTAATCTAGATGTAGTTAAACTTATCTTTACTCAGTAATCGCAACATCAACTATGTAAAAATCTATCTAGAGCTAGAGGCTCGGCTCGCTTGCATTTTGTAATTTCGTGACCTTTGTGCCTGTGCAGTCGCAAAAAATAGCACCCGTACACGTAATTGTAACCACCAACAACCACCCACAATTACACACTCCGCATCTAAATTGAAAACTGAATCTGAAAACTGAATCTGAATCCAAATCCGATGTCGCGAGGAGTGGAAATCCGTTTGTGAACGGCCATCACTTGAGAAAGTAAAAGAGACTAGCGAACTCGGCACTCGACACTTCGAAATTGTTTTTGAACAAAGAGAACACTTTACGTAAATAAATAGCCAATAAATAGTAGCCGCAAGCCACGTACACCCGCACACGTACACCCCCTTACATTCTATATCGAATAAATATATATATATCTGCCCAACATGCGCGTTATCGTTCTGAAAAAGAATCGGCCTAACAAACGCGGCACGCCCACGGCATCAGCGGCCACCTCCTCGCGAGAACCGCCCAAAAAATCGCCGTACGCAAAAGTAAGAATTTAAACTCGATACCCTCTACTCTACTCTAAAACCTTAAATTCCAAATATTTGGTTTCAATTTTCGCCGATGAAACACTCGTTATCGCGATAACGAGCGTTTCAGCCTTTGTTTCCTGTTCAATTTGCCAGTGCAATCAATTTTTGAGATACCCCCGATAACACCCCGATACAATATATATTTTCCTGTGCACATTTGCGCACTTCGAATTTCCCATGCAAATGTGCAAGTTTTCGCGCCGCGCGTGTGTATATTTCATGATTTTCGAATGCAAATGCAATTACTTAGCCATAATAACAGCATGTTTAAGTAGCAATCTGTGCATATTTAGCTCAAAAATTGGTTGTAGTGGCCAGGCATGCTATAACTCTTTACCTAACGAATTTAATTGAATATCATAGAAATAATCATATGCCATGCCATTTACCTAAGCTAAATTAGATTGCGAGCTTGTTCTAGAAATATCAAAATGGCCAAAAACATATTCGAGTGTATTTTCTTTATAATCCTTATGTGTAGTTGCTTTTAAAATATAAGTATAAGCTTGATGTACTTAAAATATAAATGTGGGGCGTAATTAAATTGTCTTGGAATTATTCCTCGCCTTGTGTGAAAAGCACTTCCACTTCCGTTTCCTGATTATTACGGCGAAGTCTGTTCTGCATTTTCAAAACTAAGGAGGCAACCACTGCGCAGAAATAGATTTTGAAAACTGAAATTTTGTGGAAATTAGAAAATCAAATAAAAACCAATTTTATTTTATACTTACAAATTGATATAGTGCGCGTGAATATTTTCAGCAAATCGCAATCATTCATAATATCAATGAAAGTGCCAATCATCATTGTTATAACAGTAATGCAAAGCCAAAGAACTAGGCAGGATATGTTACCCTGGGTTGATGAGATAAATAATGTAGTAGGAATATTATTTGTAAGTCCCCGAAGACAACACATACCCATTCGGCTCCTATAAAGAGCAGTAAGGACTTTAAAACCATCAGAGAACTTAAAGCCTTGTCGAAATATAGATTGGCTTCAAAAATAGGCATCACAGTGTTTGACCCGAGCATATCCCCATCTGGTTCCCTTGTGACCATCAGGAAATCCGGAGAATCCGTCGTTGTGGTCTTCACCTCCACTTGGGCCATATAAATACTGCACATTTGCAGTACATTTACCAAGGCCTCGAAAACGGCTATCAACTTACAGCCCGCTTTCAGGCTGAAGAAATAAAAGCAGCTAGTTAGTCCCCTCATTTCATTGATATTCCGATTAAGTCGGGTCCAGCCATTCTGCGAGTCCAGCAAATTTCGAAAATACGACATTCTCCAACGATTTCTATAGATTACCAAACTAAATGCTGATGAACGGCCAAATGCCAGCCTACTAATGAACTTTTCATCGACAGCCTCGCCTCTGTGATTGAGTTTTGGGTTTACTTCCGATTGGCTATTCCAGAGTTAAGTGCACAAGAAAATCCAATTTGATTTATACGCTGCGCCAAGGAGAGCCCGAAAATGGAGGAAAATCTAAAACAATTCAATTTTCCAAGTGTGGCAGCACGCCTTTCCCTTTTCTGTGCGATTACTTGTACAACTTGTTCCGCCCGATTCGATGGCACAATCACAATCAGTTGCCCATAAGCGAAATTCCTTTACTGATTTCCTTTTAAAAGCATTTTTCGAATTGTCTTGACTGCGAAGGAGCCACTTGAGTAAAACCCCCCTTGGCGGTTGGCGCTTTTTGGCCCATTTCAGTGTTTTACTCGCCTTCCTTTTCGGCCCTGTTTTTAAAAGCCTTCGGGCCAAGTCGTGTTTCCCATTTATTTATTATTGTTTGGCGTGCTGCTGCTGCTGTAGTGACAACTCGGAATATCCCTTAACGCTTGCCAGCCAATATGCTGGGAATTATTTTCGATTCCATTTCGATTGAGGGAGTCGAAACTCATTCAATTAATTAATCGCATGGAAAGGAATTATTTTTACCGATTTAAAATGCACAAATGGGCCACCTGCAAAGGCGATTAATTTCGCAGCCCTTGAGGAGATTGCTCTGCTCGCTTTGGGACTGAAAATACCCGGGATTTATTGGTAAGCATGTCGCCTCGGTGGGCGCCAACTGAAGGTCAAAAGCTGTGCTCCTAAAGGGTTAATTTTAAATTTATGGCCCTTCTGCCCTTCTTACTTATTCCAGCCTGCCCAGGGAATCCGGATCCTTTTCCTAGGCCAAATCCGTAGGCCAATCGTGGGGGGAAGCAACAAATTTGCACGTTAACCGCAACCAAAGCAACAATGGCTCCCTCAATTTATATAAGTGAGTGTGTGTGTGGGAGTGTCCCTGTGCCCCTGTCTCTGTATGGGTGTGACATGTGCGTGTGTGGGTGACACAGTGATATTTCTCTGGGTCCTGACACGTTATCTGGCCAACAGCTCTCGTGCCGGAAAGGCCCGTGTCGGTTCCTACTTTATTTTATTGCTTTAATAAATATGAAATGCGCTCACTTTTTTCCCAGCTCTCGAGGCATTCGCATTCGGCATAGTTTTGCTTTTCCCGCCTTTTCCACGCTTTCCCCTCGAGTGCCTTCAATTAGTTTGGCCAAATTGGGTTCTGCTTTATGACAATCCTCTTAATCTTAATCATCCAACTTGATGGCCATAAGGAATTGATGCCCGCGCCTTGAATAGGAATATTTATACATGCGTTTGCCTGGAATGAAGGCATAATTTGCTCGGGCATAAATTTTAATTAATCATAAAAACGCTGGCATAAAAATGCCAACAGGTCCTGGCAGCGTTTTCTCTTTCTCAGCCACCAGTGCCCATTCCAATCCCCTCCAGTCAAAAGAAGCCTTCGCCTAGCACATTACATCCAGGAATTCATATTCATGTTTAATAATAAATCACAAGATGCCGCACTGTTCGCTGTTCGCCGAAGTTGGGGCTGCCCGAGGGCAATTGCGGTTGCATCCTTGGAATCCGCACAGAAAAAATATAAAAAAAAGAACACAGCCGAGGAAAGTCAAATGCCAAAGGGAAGCCCCAGTAAAATGGCGCCGGCATAAAAGGATTTGCGGCTAAAGGCAAATTTAATTAAAGACATCAGCGCCGCCTCACACACACAAAGGCCCTGAATCAGGAGTAAATCCCTGCCTCAGCCGCTTTTAATTGCCCACTACCTGTTCCTGTTCGCCAGAAACCGCCAAAAAGGACGCTTTCTGTAATTCTGTGGGGGCCAAGAGCGAACAATGAACAATGGGAATTCATTTGCGAATTTTGGTATCAATTAACCGACCGCCCATTCATCATCGGGAATCGTATCTAACGGATGTATGCTTCAACTAATTTACTGAATGAACACGCGGCGCAAATGTTCTGCAGTTTTGCAATCCACTATGAAGCTTTTCGTTGTTCGCTGATAAATATTTAAGTGGCAGGGCGACAGCTACGGATACACAAAACTAAACTATTTAGCCAAGTATAACGACTAAGGAATTCTCTATTGCTAAAAATGTGGAATAGTTAAATTATTTAATTATTTTATTTTTATATAGAGTCTTTAAGTTGTATAGTTTTAGAGATTAAAGTGCTTTAGGCATATCATATAATTTAAAGTATAATATAAATTGCACAAAATAGTATACATTTTAAAAGTAGTTTTAAAAAAATTCTTATTCAGTGGTAGGTATACAAATACTTCACAGGCTTGAAAGCATTTCCATTTCTCAGTTCCTTACCTTATACCCTTGAACCCCTCGAGTTCTGTGCCCAAACAGCTGTAGAGGTTCATAGATACATTTACTAAGGGCCTAGTGGGAGTGCCTTTGGGGTCGTTTGGACGAACATAGACAGACACTTGGACAGACAGATTTTCGGCTGTTTGGCGCTCTAGAGATTTAGCATTTCGTTGACGCACGAATGGCACAAAAAACAGTTTTCAGCTCCGATTCCTGGCACTCGCCATGGATATCTAGAATATCTAGGATATCTGCATGTGGGCGGCGCTTTAGTGTGTGTGTGTGTGCATTCATTAAAATTTCATTTGAAAATCAGCAGAAATGCTGCTGTAATCTCTTCTAGTCATTTGTTTTGCCAGCCACGAGAACTTGCCATTGTATTCCCCGTCGGTTCGCTGCTCCTTGGAAGAGAACTGGAAATGGAAATATTCGCCTGTCAGCAGAAGCCAAGTTGATGGAAATCTGTGAAATTGGTAGAAAAAGTGCAAGGACAGGCAAATCGTAAGTTGATATGCTTGTGTCTTGAATATTTTATTGCTGCAGAGATAAATCTGGTCCAGTACTGAATGGATGTGCCGAGTTTAGAAGTAAGCGCAAACTAAGTTTCACTTGAATCACGAGCAGTTCCTCGAAATTAAATATTACTAAGGACATAAAAAGGTACATTAGGTTTTGTTTGGACCGTTGTGTTTTTGAAACACCATAACTTATTTACCATGACAAATACAATGAACTCTGAGTTGATTTTATATTCCTAAGTTTCAAAGAAGCATACATGTTATGTTCTTTACAAGTTCTGGTTTCAGATAAAATTGTTTCAATTGTTATTAAATGTATTCCTTTTTCTTCCGAATTTGATTGAAAATGAAACTAGACGACATTGTGGGTTCCCCCTATTAATTTTGCTGGAAAATTGTATCGAATAACATTTTTATTTCTCCCTCGACGCTTTCGGGGAAATTTACGATTGCGTCAAAAAGTATGCCATGCTGGCCAAGCCAATAAAGTGCGCTCTTTATGGAGGTCCGAATTCCAAAGAAGGATTTGGTGGAATAGCGGAAAAGACCTAATGGATTTAAAACGCGCTCACCCACTAATGCGAACCCTTCAGATCCCCTTTTTTCCCGCCGCTCCTGCGAAACTGACGGCTGTTTATCTGACATTCATAGTTTATGCTCCGTGTTCTGCTCACCTTTCTCAACAAGATAAACGCAGTCGAATTTTCCTGGGAAAGTGGGATAAAAGAAAATGTGGTTCGGATGGAGGGGAAATCCTCGAAGCCAGGGGAGCAAGAGCAGCAATGATAAAACTAGTAAAGCATACAACATTGTTTGACTTTGTGGATTTGGTGAGCCATGGAGCAATTCCACTCCGCCACTGCCACCGCCACCCAGTTTTTGCCACCGCCTCAAAGCATTTTTGGCAGTTAACCCGTAAAGATGATAAATGCGAATGTCTTTGCCGTTTGAGTTTGAGTTGTTGCAGTGCCTACTCAAGGAATTTATGGCCACCCGTTTGGGTCCAAGTTCACCACCCAGTGCAAACAAAACGAGCAGGAAAACAATCAGAGAAAATGGAAAAATGCGAGGCCAAGCTGCTTGAGTTTTCCTCTCCTCGGGAGATTGACAGGTCGAGCTGGCCAAGAGTCCAGATGGCCAGCTGGCCGAGTGCCATCGCTGCAGCCTCACTTACTCCTCCGGTTTCCTGGCCAAACAGAAAGTCGCATTAATCAACACTTAAACGTTTAATTGCCGAACATTAATCTTGAGGTTAAGCCGCCCCCGACTGTCAATTTTGGCCTTGGTGCGGCGTGTGGGTGTGTTCCTGCGGCCTTTTTGCGACTGCTCCGGCATTAATTGTGTCATTTGGCAATTAACTTTCCAGCCCCAAAAACGTTGGCTGGTGACAAATTCGGGGCTCGCCGCTTGTAAATATTGATGAGCCGCGCGCTCTTCGTCGAGAGCAGCCCAATCTGGCCCAAACCAAGCCGAGCAGGCCAAAACAGTTGATGGACCGTTGCCAAAATTATGTTCAAGCTTATGCCGCTGGCTTGCAGCTGTCGCAGTTTTGATTGAAATATGAGCATGGAACTGCCAGCGATGTGATGTGACCTCACTGGGCGTCGGGAGTCGGCAGTCGGCTGTTGGGAGTCCTGGCTTTCGCGACGAGTTAATTAATTTCCACGTTGACATTTCACTCTGCTGTATATTTAATGAGCGGGCTTTGGTCACGGCTGCGGTTTCGCTCACCACAGCCTTCTGCCATCCTCCTATTTATCTGAATCAACGTATATTTTCCGGGCTGGCAAATAAATAAATATTGTTTCAAAAGCTGATACCAAGATCTTGATAGGTGTCTAAATAAATTTAATAATTTCATTTAGGATACGGCTTAAATGATTACCAATTAATGGTTATTTATTTCACCAATATCGTCTTTATTTTAAATTTATTTTAACTTTCGGTATAGCTTTTTGTCATCAATTTATTCTGTTAAGTCAACTACCAATGATGCCTGTATATATTTTTAGAAAATAATTGGTAAACTTTTAGTTGCAATTAAAACATTTAGTTAAGCCAATTATCTTATTTGAAAGGATTCAGGCATTGCCCCAATTTTTTGAGTAATTTATGCTT